ATGATGATGATGATGATGATGATGATGATGATGATGATGATGATGATGATGATGATGGTGATGATGATGATGATGATGATGATGATGATGATGATGGTGATGTGACGATGGTGATGGTGATGATCCCGGCCCCCCCCACCCCTCCTCCTCTCTCTTGTCTCCCCCCCTCTCCTGTCTCCCCCCCCTCCCCCCTCTCTCCGTTTCCCCCCACCTTGCCCCCCCTCTCTCCTGTCCCCCCCCCTCTCTTCTGTCCCCCCCCCCCTCTCCTCCCCCCCCCCCTCTCTCCTGCTTCCCCCTCCCCCCTCTCCTGTACAATTACTCAATATGAATACTACTCTCCCTCTTCCCCTGATGACGTGCTGGGAGTGTTCGCCCCCCTCTCCCCCGCGTGCTGTTTTTTTGCACACAGGATTCCCCGGAGTTGGGTTTTCGCTTGCATTTTTTTTCAAAATGCTGCTCTCGCTGAGGCGCCGGCCTCATTTTCGGGCCCCGCTCGTTCCGAATCGTGCTCCCGCTGCAGCGTGGGTCTCATTTTCGGATCGGTGTTTTGCCTCCGTCGTTCAGGATGGCGTTCTCGCCCCAGCGCGGGCCTCTTTCTCGCGCGCCCATCCGCCCGCCACCACCGCACCGCGCCCCGCCCCGCCCACCGCCACTTCCACCCACCAACGCACGCACGCACGCACGCGCACCGCCACCACCACCCCACTACCCCACCCACCACCACCACGCTACACCGCGTCACACCACATCACACGCGCGCGCACACAGACACACACGCACGCACACACACATACACACGCACACACACACACACACACACGCACACACACCACCACCGCCACCACCACCACCACCGCCATCACGCACGCACGCACCTGGCCCACCACCAAACCACCAAGACGCCACACCACGTCACACCACAGCACACGCGCACACACGCACACACAACATCACCACCACCACCACCACCACCACCACCACCACCACCACCACCACCACCACCACCACCACCACCACCACCACCACCACCACCACCACCACCACCACCACCACCACCACCACCACCACCACCACCACCACCACCACCACCACCACACCACACCACCACCACACCACACCACCACCACACCACACCACCACCACCACCACCACCACCACCACCACCACACCACCACAACCACGCACACACGCACGCACGCACGCACGCGCACCACCACCCACTACGCACGCGCGCGCGGAGCCACAGGTCCGCTACGACACGCGTCCGCGGATAGAGAAAATCAGCGCCATGGTAAGGGATGGGAGGGAGGGGTAGGACGTCAGATATGACGCGAGCGCACCTATAGCTTCCCCCCCCCCCCCTCTCTCCTGTCCCCCCCCCCCTTCTCTCCTTCCCCCCCCCTTCTCTCCTGTTCTCATCCTCCCCCTCTCTCTCTTGTCCCCCGCCCCTCTCCCCACCCCCCCTCTCTCCTGCCCCCCCCCCCCTTTCTCATGTCCCCCCCCCCCCCCCCTCTCCTTTACAATTATTCAATGAAATACTACTCTCCCTCCTTCCCCTGATGACGGGTTTGGGAGTGTTCGCCCCCCCCTCTCCCCCGCGTGCTGTTTTTTTACACACAGGATTCCCCGGAGTTGGGTTTTCGCCTGCATTTTTTTCGAAAATGCTGCTCTCGCTGAGGCGCCGGCCTCATTTTCGGGCCCCGCTCGTTCCGAATCGTGCTCCCGCTGCAGCGCTGGCTTCATTTCCGTGCTTCCGCTCGCTCCGAATCGTGCTCCCGCTGCAGCGCTGGCCTCATTTCCGCGCTTCCGCTCGTTCCGAATCGTGCTCCCGCTGCAGCGCTGGCGTCAGTTCCCGTGCCATGCCACGGCATACAATGCAATGCTAGGTTGCGTTCCGCTGCGCGATGCCATGCCTTCAGCTGAAGCTGTGATGTTATGTTATGCTATGCTATGCTATGTTATGTTCGGGGCTATGTTATGTTATGTTATGCTATGCTCATCTTCAACGCCATGCTATGCAATGTTATGTTCGGGGCCGCTGTGCGATGCCATGCTTTGCGTTGCAAAGCTTTGTGATGCAATTCTTCACTACGCCACGCCACGCCATGCTGTGACATACTACGCTTTGCGGTGCTCTTCTACGCCATGCCATGCCGTGCTCTACAATGCATCGCGTACCCTTTCGGGATCATTGCCCTGCTCGACATCCGACTGTGCGAGTAGAGAGGGGATCTACGCCATGGTAAGGGATGGGAGGGAGGGGTAGGATGTCAGATATGACGCGAGCGCACCTAGCTTGCCCTCCCCCCTCTCTCCTGTCCCCCCCCCCTCTCCTGTCCCCCCCCCCTCTCTCCCCCCCCCTCTCTCTTCTGTCCCCCCCCCCCCTCTCCTGGGGGCTGGCAGGGGGGGGGAGGTGCCGAGCACTGAATTCGTCAGTTAATGAGGTCCCCCCCCCTCCAGAGCTAAAGCTCATGCTGAAGCAGAGCTTCAGCTTAGACTTCTTAAACTCACACGCCGGATCGGCGGATTTCCTTGTGCTTTACCTTTGGCTGGGGCTCCACCGGCGGTCTCGCATCGGCGCAGCAAGGCGCGGGCATTTCGTTTTCGAGGCGGGATGTGTTGAAATTCCTCGGAGGAGGT